CTAGGCCCTAAAGCCTAAACCCCAAACTCCGCGACTGTTCTGCACGCGCGAGTAGCAGTGCAAGTCTGTCACCCGCTTACTCATCTTACTCAGGAGACTCGTCGAAGGAGGCCGAAGGCAAACCACTTTCGGGGCCCATTGCCTTCGGGTTTAGGGTTCTATCTTCGTGGAAGAAAATTCAGTTGCTGACCTTTGGGACTGTATACGGACTACGTCGGGGACAAACCAGCACAAGCAAAGAGACTCAGTGACTACGTACTCACCACCGAGCGGCCTGATATGTCGCGACCTGTCGTTTGACACAGCGACATGATGTTAGGGTGTCCTGGCCGTGCCTGTCATGTCTGTAAAACAGGCAGATGCACTGGATGACCATCAGGAATACCACCAGGAGAAAAAATGCGAGCTGAGCTGGGGAGTAGTCCGTCATAACAGGAATATAGGAGCCCCAGATGCAGCCGCCACACAGAAAAGTGTATTCATATGCCAAGAAGCAACACAAGAAAGCCGCGCAGCGCTGAAAGGGACCATCGCCGAAGGACAGACTGACTTTCAGCATTCGAAGCATGAGCGGATAGGTAAGTGGGAATGCCAGCAGGATGTTAAGCGCCCAACCGACAACACAAACCAGGACGTAGGTGGTCGTGGACATGCGTGCCAGCCGTGCAGATTCCTCGCAAGAGTTGTTGTCGCAGCCCAGCACGTTCACTGAGGAGTACAAGATCATCGGCAGACAAGTAGTCAGACACAATGGCCATGGCACGTAGATTTCATCGCCGATCTGCATCATGACAATGTCACGAAGGACGCCTCACAGGGTTAAACAGTTATAAACGAGTAACCGCAGGCCCAAACACTACCTCCTGAACCAGAACTCGCTGAAACCAGAAGGTGCCATGCTGTCATATTGAGGGTTTTGAAATTTAAGTGTCCGTGAACAAGGAAACGCGCATGGTTCTGTGGCCGGAGCGCGTTTGGGAATGTCGCATGTCGCCGAAACGCTGTCTTTTACAACGAATGCGCCATGCCAGGCGGACAGGCCGGCGCAGGACTGTGGCGAGAGCTCGCGTCACCAGCGTGACCCAATCATTTTACTCTGAGCATAAGGGCCCCATAATCTCACCACGCTGTTTGGGGAGTTGGACTACGCGAAAAAATACAAGGGCCTTGGTTAGACAGTAGGCCCTTCCTCTGCCAAGATAGCTCCTTGACCACGCAGATTGCCAGGATTTAGGGTGGTAGGTGTTTGGGGGTTGAAGGGGTCTAGGGGCTGGGGGGGATCAGGGTTGAGGGTTTGATTAGGGCTTATACCTAGACCCTCCATCTACCCTCTAAAGACCCTAAATACCCTTAATTTGGGACCATATGCCCCTATTTGAGGGTGCTTGGAGGGTCCTGGTAGGGTCTAGGGACTACCGACGCGAAGATCCTGCTGCCTCGAACGTAGGCATTGAATCGGTCCAACGGATTGCCGGCGCCATGGTAATGCACAAACTGCTGAACCTTCACCTGCAGAACGGATTACTTAGGTTCGGGCGTTTAGGAGTTGAACGTCACGGCATGTTGGAGTTGGGGTCCAAAGAAACCCTAAAATACCTAACTTAGTAAACCCTAAACCCCACCAAAGCCTGAACCGAAGGCGTGGGCCAAGGCGCATCACTCTATTCTGAGATCCCACTGACAACTGTCCGGGCTTTGAAGGTTTAGGGTTTAGGGTTTAGTGTGTAGAGTTTAGGGTTTAGGATTTTTTGGGTTTCGGATTTAGGGCAGAAAGGAACCTTGCTGTGTCTCCGCTCTTTGCCTTTCGTGCTGTGCAGACGTCTTCGGCTGCGCAGTTTTCGTTTTGCAGTTCTTTTGGAGGCACGGAAATATTTGGTGATCCGCGCTTGCTGCTGTATCCCGAAGCCCTAAACCCTAAACCCCAAACCCTAGACCCTCGGCCCTAAGCCCTAAACCCTAAGGTTTTGCCCGGTCAGGCACAAATCGGCCGAAGGGCCTCGGATTGATAGTTGAGGCTGGCTCGGCCGCCCGCCGCTACGGGTGCAATATAGGGGCCTCAATACTTAGAACAGGGTTCTGGAGCCCATTATACTATAGTTATAATTAACAACGAACCCAAAGATGTTGGTAATTCATATTTAGACGGCCCCTACATTGGCGTTTGGCGATGTTTATTGTTTTGAGGCTTCGGGTTTACTGGTTACGGTCTTAAGTTCTAGAGGCGTTCACATTGGGATAGGGGCCTTAATAATTAGAACAGGGTTTTGGGGTATGTTTTTGCTATACTTATAATAAGGAATTTCCAAAATAGTATGGCCCCTATATTATGAGCTCAGGAATGGTTGAATGCCAGGCCTCAAGAAAATGTAGCACGATCTCTGGAGCCCTTACAGAACTCTTGGTAAAATCCGAAAAACCTACATCCAAACAAAAAGGCACTCTACCCCTATGCCATATCCCTGTAGTCAGAACAGCTTCAGCCGTGCCTCCCCCTCATCTACGGCATCAGCACCGGGAGTGGGCGAGTCGTGGTTGCAGAACACCTCCTCTTGGAGGTTCATGGGTAGTTATAACTGGGGTTTAGGGTTTAGGGCTTAGGGTTAGGTTAGGGTTTAGGGTTTAGGGGGGGTTAAAACTAGGGTAACCATAGGTATAACCCATATTAAGGGACTTATAACCCTACTTATATAACTACCCATGAACCTCCAAGCTGAATTCGCTGATGCTGCTTTAGACTTTCGGGAGACCTGGTCACCCGAAACCCCAAGCGGGCCCCTAAAGCTCTAAACTAAACCCTCATACGAGGACCATGAAAGCTAGAATAGGGCTCTGAGGGTCTACTACACCAAACTTGTAGCAACTAAGACTATTCCGACCTTTACGTCAAACCCTTTTTGCCTTAGGTCGGAAGACTCCTTCAGTTGCTTCTCGATGGCTTCGCGGTCCGAAGGCTCAGAACACTTGGCCGCCCGGACGTCAAACTCTGCCATTTGATCCTGGAGTTGGGCTTAGGGTTTGGGGCTCGGGGTTCGGGGTAAACCCTCAAGCCTACAACTGTAGCCGACTATGTGGATATGGCACTGGCCATCCTGGTGGAGCTGAGAAGACTTGGAGCACTGGGGGGCTTTCGGTTAAGGGGCCCTCAACCCTGAGTTTCCACACACTTCGGAGCTGCTGAGTTGAGCGAAACACCGAAGGCCAGAGGTCTGAAGGCTTCGGATCAGCTGCGGGCTTGAGGGATGCGGGAAAGGTAAGAAACCAAAAGCAACGCAGAAAGAGAGAGAAGGGGCTCGGGAACAACTACGGGAAGGCTCTAATCCCTAAACTCTAGGGGGAGGGGGGAGCGCGAGAGTGATAGGGCGATAAGAAGAGAAAGACGGTGAGAGACGCAGACAAAGTAGATGAGGATAAATCAGATAGGTGAGCGACGGTCGCATGAACGCCTGCGAGCACATACCCAGGTTTATTCAATGTGTGAAGTGCATGGACTTTGGGATAGCTAATAGGCTAAAAGGTTCAGTGGAAACTCGGCACCTCGCCTCGAATAGTGTTCTCGAAGACACAAAAACAAATTCTAAAATCCTAAATTTAAAGCCTGAACCCTGGTAGGCTCCGGATGTCGCCAACATCGGAATTGCCGGCATGATCCTCTTGGTCATGGTAGCAGTGTCCGAACAATCTAACTGTCAAGGTAAGAACAGAAGTGCAGTCGGCACCTGAACTAGCATGATCTGAACAACATATCCTATCCTTGCCGTTTAGGGTTGAGTTTAGTGCGTTGCTCTCTGTATGCGGATATCTGTCATGCACTTCTCATTTTGGTCGTACCTGCAGTGCCTGGGCGGCAGTTACCACCACAGCTGGTAACGGTGTCGCCATGCCTACAAGTGGTGTTCTTGCTATCATGAGTGCTGCTATAGTCATACCATGATCTACTATCACCGCCCCGGTCGCCGCGAGAACCGAACAATGCGCCGCCTGCACTACAACAATCATTGACCGTGCATGTGTTGGGACTTACATGGTCTGAGAATCCCTAAACTTTAAACTTCAACGATAAGCCCTAAGAAACCTGGTCTGAAAGCCCCTAAACTTTAAACTTCAACGATAAGCCCCAGGAAAGTCCATCCCAAACACCCCAAACCATTCCCCCCTAACCCTAAACCCTAAACCCTAAATCCTAAACCCTGAACCCAACAACCTAAACCCTAAAACCTATAAACCCTAAACCCTAAACCCCACGGTCCAGGATCAGCTGGTGATGGCCAATCTTCATGCGGAAGGAGAAGAAACCTTGTGGGCCCTACTTGGAGGTTCAATGGGTAGTTATAAGTAGGGTTATAAGTCCCCTAATCGGGATAGCTACCCTACTTATAACCCCACTTATAACTACCCATGTACCTCCAAGTATGCCCTGAACCCTGCGACAGCGGGTTCAGGGTTCAGGGCTTTGGGTTTAGGGTTTAGGGTGCAGGGTTAGGGTTTAGGGTTTAGGGTTCAGGGCTTTCGGTTTAGGGTTTAGGGCTTTGGGTTTAGGGTTTAGGGTTTAGGGGTGGTGTAGGGTTGGGGTTTAGGGTTCCCAAGACCTCAAACACAAGAACCCCTACCATGAACCGTAAGCTCCAAACCCAATTACTTGGAGGTTCATGGGTAGTTATAAGTGGGGTTATAAGTAGGGTAACTATCCATATTAGGGGACTTATAACCCTACTTATAACTACCCATGAAACCTCCAAGTATTCTGCAACGCTGACCAAGCAAAGAGTCTCAAGCCTGCTACAACTACGAAGCCTTTGCCGCGTGTCAGGGTTTGGGGTTTAGGGTTTAGGGTTTGGGGTTTGGGGTTTAGGGTCAGGGTTCTTGGACAGATGCAGGCGAGTTTAAGGTCTAAAGTGTTGGGGTTTATGGCATTCGGTGAAGACTACAAGTTAGTGCAGCCGGAATGCCTGATTCGGCTTGAGACTTGCAAGCCAAACCAAGGCCCCGAAAAAACACCGGCCCTAAAAACCCTAAACCTGAAACCTAAACCCTAAACCCTAAACCCTAAACCCCAACACTGAACCCTGAAGTATCGGCTGGGGAGCTGGGGATAGCAGCCGGGAGCGTAGTCAGCGAGGTGATCATCCAGATGACGAGCCAACCGACGAATCTCCTCGGCTTCTGGGATTTCTAGGGTTTAGAGTTTAGGTTTTAGGGTTTAGGTTTTTGGGTTTAGGTTTTAGGATTTAGGGTTTAGGGTTTAGGGTTTAGGGTTAGGAGTCCGTCCGGTCTTGCCGAGCCAAGCTTCATCATCATTGGGTTGTCTCGCAGAAGTATTCCGACGAGCCCCATGATATGCCTGTCCCCGATGAGGAAGGAGACAAAGGGGGGATCCGCATGGGGGCTTGTTAGGGTTTAGGGTTTAAAGGTGCTGTTGATGTTGGGGTTCAGGGCAAAGTATTAAGAAACCCAAGCCACAAAACTAGGAATGATCCCCCATTCTTGACCAGATGCTGGCTGCAAGCTGGCATCCAGCCGGGGAACACAATCTGCGACACATCCATCCTAAGCTGTTCTTGAGAGCACTCTAAAGAAACTTCAGCATTTTTGCCCTTACTAGGAATTAGACTATACTGGGACGAACACTTCGGTTAAAGGATGGCCCAGCATCACGTGGGCACTGAGCAGCTCCAGGGACATGCAGCAAAGCAACCATGGAGCGAGCCACAGTGGCAACACGTCAACCTTATCCACGCCTCCATGCCGTGCAAAAGTGGCCAGCTCTAGGTTGCACCACAACCTGTGCGAGAGAAAGCTTTCTGTTGCCTATCGCTGTCAACGAACTCAACACAAAAACACAGTACTTTCAGAGCTGAGCAGCCTTTCAAAATAGGATCCGTCACAAAGGACGAGCATGCGGGAAGAACGTGCAACGAAGGTGGGCACGGACTTGATTTGTTCGGCTTTCAAGTCCAGATCTGTCTGATGGATACACAGCCTGTCTATCCAAATTGATGGAGACCACAGCCCAAAAGAGAGTTGCTGTCCAAAGAAGAAAGCAATGAAGAAGCTGACCATGGGTAGATACACAAAGCAGGGGAGCAGAAGGCGACTTCCCCCAAGACCGAATACACCGTACAAGGAGATCATGAGTACGACCATCAAGATCCACGTGACCATGCAACTCGCGACAGCCATCTGTAGGTTCAGATACCTCAGCTCTACAAACCCTGAAACCCTGACTGCTACGACTGCTACGACCTTCCGGCCTAAACCCTACAATGTTACAACCCCATAACCTCAGACCCTGAAGCCTAAACCATAAGCCGACCCCATCACAACCTGAACCCTATACCTTAAGGCCTAAAGCCTTAACCTTAAACGGCCCTAAACCCTGAACCCTAGGAACCTCAAGCCGCACAACCTCTAACCCTAAACCCGACCATCTTCAAGCCCAAAACCGAAATCCTAAAACTAAAACTTTCAAAACCCTACACCAACGAGTGCCAATAAGGGACGGTCTCCCTAAAGCCAAAACTCTAAACCCATAACCCAACCTAAATCTTTATAGATGCTTCGAGGCCCCAATTCCTCCACTGCAAGATTTATCGTGTTTAGGGCCTCAGGTCTTAATCTTTAGGGTTTTAGGTTTTAGGGCCCAGGACTTAGCCAAATGGCTTGGGGAGAGACGAGGTTCTGAAGGGAAACCCCCCATACAGGGTTTAGGGCTTAGGGCTTAGGGTTTAGGGGGACCTCAATAAACGGAACAGGGTTCTGGGGTTTTCTTGCGCATATAGGCACACAACTCACCAGTTATTCCGACCCCTGCAGGAGCTGCACCGGCAAATTGCAATCCTAAACCCATGTGTAGGAACCTCAGAAATTGGAGCAGGGCTTTGAATTCTGTATGATATGGGGACTATGACTACCAGCAAATGTTACCACTAACTATTCCGACCTCTATGCTATTCAGGGGCATCTGCCGGTCAGAGAAGCGAAGCAAGCGGACTTGCGGCGAATGAACACCTGTAGCCTGCTGACTAACGCCGAGTGACAAGCAGAGCGCTAGGAACTTCTCCCAACGGCCTGCGGCTGAAGTAGCTCGGCTTTTCCGGACTTGGGTTAACAACGCCTAGCCGAGCATTCTTTTTGTTTTGTGGTTTGGGTGGTTCTTGTGTCACGGCTGACTACACGGGACTCCGCTGGATCCATCTGGTGGCTGCGGGATTTTGAACGATTTGGCGATCGTTTTCAATTCCGCTAGCTGATGTGCGCGGTCGCCTGCGCGGATCGTGTCTCCAAAAAAAACCTGCGCGAGACTACGCGCCCCAATGAATATGGCTAAGCAGTGCTACGCAAGCACATGAATATGAGACATCACTGCGTAGCGCAGACAGCGATAAAACAAAACGCTGCTCAACCCTAAACCCTAAACCCTACAATACCCTAATCCCTACACCCTACTGTTCCTTAAACCCTAGATGTTCTACCAGGATTTTGGTGCCTTATGGCTTTGAGACTCAAAAGACCCTCAAGCTCATCAGGAAACCACAATCTGTATGTAGGCACCTGTGAACCACTACATAAAGGTTTAGGCTTTAATGGTTTGGGGAGTCTAGGGCATTGGGTTTAGGGCAGGGCAGGGTGAGATACGCCGGTTCTGTAATATACCCCCTAAATACCCACTATTAAGTGCCACAGGCGCTCTATTGACGTTTACTTGGGGTGTCCTGGTAGATCCAAGGCTCCACAATCAGGCCATCGGCAAAACGGCTCGGAGTTCAGGGTGCTGAGCTTTGTGGCTAAGGGGGCATAGGGCGCCATTTGCGTTGAGGTTAGGCAGTAAAGGCTGAAGCTTCAGGGCTTTTGAGTCCCTAAACCCTGAACCCTAAACCCTAAACTAAACCAAACCCTAAACCCCAAACCATGAACCCTAAACCATGAACCCTAAACTGTAAACTAAACCCTAAACTAAACCCTACACCCTAAAGAAGACCCTAAACTAAACCCTAAACCCTAAACCCTACGTAAAACCCTGAACCCCAACCCTGGTGGGTTCATGACTGCCTAGACCCTCCATCTACCCTCTAAAGACCCTAAATTACCCTTAACTTGGGGCCATATACCCCTATTTGAGGGTACTTGGAGGGTCCTGGTGTATAAACCTTCAACTTGAGGCCCTGATGACCTGCACTCCAAGAATGACTGATGAAGAGGTCCACGCTGTCTGTCTCCACAGATGCGCCGAACCTCTGGCGCAACGGAAGATGATAAGCAATGCCACTGTATGGCTTCACAGGCTTCTGATTCTGATACTTCCGTCAGGCGTTGGAAAACTCGACCACATTTTTGGGACGTGCTGCACTTTGCTTCTTTGCTGATGCTTCAAGTCTCTTGCACCTAGGATCCTAGCCCAGAGACCGTAAATTGAGATGCGTCCCACCCTATTCCTAAACCCTGAGACCCTGAACTAGACCGTACTTCAAAATCGTAATCAAAGGACCCTAAACCCTAAACCCTAAACCCACTGGAACTACTGGAACTACTGGAACTACAAGTCTCCAAGGCACAAGGTGTCCCCGACCTTCCGCATCTGCTCCAAGGTCGGAAATCGGATGCCGTAGAGTCCCCCGGCCGAAAGGAGCGTCGGAAGATCCTGGTTGAAGATCATTCCAAATCCTGGGTTTAGGGTTTAGGGTTTTTCGGGTTTACTGAAATTTGGGGCTTAGGGTTTACGGAAATTTGGGGCTTAGGGTTTAGGGTTTACTGAAATTTGGGGTTTAGGGTTTAGGGTTTACTGAAATTTGGGGCTTAGGGTTTACTGAAATTTGGGGTTTAGGGTTTAGGGTTTACTGAAATTTGGGGTTTAGGGTTTAGGGTTTACTGAATTTGGGGTTTAGGGTTTAGGGTTTCATGTAGCGGCCTGCATACAATACCTATAATAGTTGTACTGGTTCCTGGAGTGCTTAGGGCCTAGGGCTTAGGATCATCCCCGAAGCCTGCTTTAAACGAGAAGAAGTCTGGGAGTGAGGGTTTACAGAGCTGGGCTTGGGGGCCCAGGGTTCGAGGATTTGGGTTAATGAGGGTGTAGGGGTTTAGGGTTTAGGGTTTTAGGGTTTTAGGGTGTAGGGTTTAGGGGTTTAGGGTTTGGGGTAGAGGGTTTAGGGTGTAGGGTTTAGGGGTTTAGGGGTTTAGGGCTCAAGGGTTTGAGGGCTTCGGGTACAGGGAATTGGGGTTCAGGGCTTTACATGAAGCTTACCCTAAACCCTAAACCGTGGGGGTTTTGCTGGCTAAGACTTCTGGTCTCTAGGACTCTAGAGATTCGTTCCAGAGTTGGGTGGTTAAAGTTGTGACAAGTTTCAACACTAAGCCCTAAACCCGTAAGCCCTAACCCTACGCCCATAAGCCCTAAACCCGAAGCCCAGTTCAAGCCAGCAAGCCGGTCAGCACCTGCAGAGTTGTCGTGGAGCGCAGCGAGCTCACTGCTCCTGCTTGCATCCGAGCACTTCGCGCTGCAAGGTCTTGGTTTAGGCTTTAGGTTTTACGGTGCGGAAGGAAATCAGGAACTTGGGGTGCTAGGGCTTGGGTCACCCTAAAGCATTAACCTCAGGGCGTCTCAGGTTCAAGGGCTTCACGTCGAAACCGCCTGCAAGCAGATGAACGATAATGAAGGTCGTAGCGCTAGTCGTAGCCTAAGACAAGTAAGTAGTCTCGGGTCAAGTCATCTAGTCAAACCCGAATGTCTCATAAGAAGACCCTAAGCAGCCTTATATTATGGTTTCGGGTCCCGGATCTGGGTTTAGGGGCTTACATAGGGCTTATAAGGGTTTCAAGTTTCAAGTTTCCGGGCCTAAAGCCTTTCGGGGTTCAGGTTTCTGTGATGGGGATGCTGCGGCTAAGCCTTACCTCCCTGTTTGCACAAGTGTCCGCAGCCGGCTTCGGGTCTAGGGCTTCCGGGTGTAGGGGTTCCTATAAGAATGATAATACGAATAACAATAAGAATAAGAATAACAATAAGACTAATAAGAAGAAGCCATGGCCATTTACTCAGAGTTCTGCGGGCTGCCAGGATGCAAAAACCCTGCGATACCTATGGCATCCTAACCCTTTAACTCTAGGATTTAGGGTTTAGGGTGTAGGGGTGGCCCTGGATTCAACAGAAGCCGAACACCAGAGACTCCGACATCTCTTCGTCAAGAGATACGCCAAGCCATCAAACAAAACCATGACAAACCCTAAAACCTAAACCCCCGTTGAACCCAAAATCCCCAAACCCTATGCCCCAAACCTTAAACCCAAAACCCTGCACCCCAAGCCCCATACATCTTAGACCTTCTAAGCCCGACTAAAGCAAGTCAGAGGTGCCTCCTTCGATTCTATCGTAGGAGAGCGGACGCCGGAGACGGTGCGCAGAAGGTGGCATTGCTCCAAGGGCTCCGGGTTTAGGGTTTAGGGTTTATAGGGTCATGCCCTATATACCCTAAACCGGGGGCTTAAAGGGTCTAGGGTCTCGGGGATCTGGGGTTCGAGGTCTGCGAGGGAGCGAAGAGATAAATGCGAGACGTGTGATTTTTAGTTCCCCGGTAGGGTTTTGGCATACTACACACAACTTACAACCAGGAACCCCACGGAACAGTATTGCCGGTTGCTCAGGCTTCTGTATGAAGCCCTCAAGCCGTATGCCAAATCCGAGAAGCTTCAGAGTGAGCTATCCCAAGCCCTCAAACAGATTTATTGCTTAGGGTTCAGACGGTTTAAGGTTTAGGGCCTCGCGGAAATAATATATCGAAGATGCAAGCCCAGAAAAGCTTGGAATGCTGGGCTTTTGGGTTTGAGCGCAGAACCCTAAACTCTAACCTTTATTATAAAGCCTAAACTGCAAAATCCCTAACGCAACCCCCCAAAACATAAGACTAGAAGAAGGGGCGGGAGGAGGTCGCAAAATTTGACAAAAGCAATCCCAGGCCGTGTTGCTCCTTGGGCTGTAAAGGCTTTCAGTATTCACGGCTGTTTGTGGTTGCCAAGGTCCGTAGGGCATTTAGGGCTTTCAGGGCTTCTAGGGTTGGTGGCTTTTGTGTGTCTTTAGTGCTTTTAGGGTAGAAGGTTGCTCAACCTGCAGGCTTAGGGCCTAACATCATGGCGTTTTAGCATGAAGGGTAGCCTAGGTCACATTTTTCAGCCCGATGTCGGCTTAGAGGGGAGATTCGTCGAAAGATGCCAAAGGCACACCACTTTCGGCGCCCATTGCCTTACGAATGTTCAGGGTTTTTTGTTTGAGAGCTCTCTTGCATCCAGGGTTCAGGGCTTAGGGTGTAGGGTTGCTTGTAGGGTTTAGGGTTTAAGGGTTTAGGGTTTCGGGGTTTAGAGTTTAGAGTTTAGGACCTGTTGGGCTCAAAGAAAGCCTTAGGAGTAGTGTTGGTAGTGATTTAGTAGGCACCTAAAACATGTAAGGACTAGACTGACTAGATGAGGGTAAGGCAGAGCCCATAAAGAGTCTCAGAAATTGCTTGCTGCACTACCGAGCTGCCTGATATGTCGCGACCTGTCGTTTGACACAGCGACACGATGTCAGGTTTTCCCGGTCTTGTCTTTCCCATCGGTAAAACAAGCAGAGGGACTGGACGACCATCAAGATCACCACCAGCAGGAAAAACATGAGCTGAGTTGGGGAGTAGTCTTGCACAAGAGGAACCCAGGCGCCCAAAATCAAGCCACCACACATATAGGTGTACTCATAAGCCAGGAAGCAACACAAGAAAGCCGCGCAGCGCTGCACCGGGGCATCGCCAAACGACAGAATACATCTAAGCATGCGGAGCATTACAGGATAGGTCAGTGGGAATGTCAGCAATATGACGAGTACCCAGCTCAACGTCTGGGCCAGAATGTACTGTAGCGTTGAGGAACAACCTGCCAGCCGCGCAGATTCGTCGCAAGAGCCGTTGTCACAGCCCAGCACGTTCACAGCTGAGTAGAGGATCATCGGTAGGCAGGCCGTCAAGCACAATGGCCACGGTACGTGGATTTCATCGCCAATCTGCATCACGACAATGTCACGAAGGATCCCTGGGGGGCAGTCTACATGTGCTGGTAGACCAAAACCCTAAACCCTAAACCCTGAAAGCACTATCTCCTAAAGCAGGTCCTTAGACCCGAGTTCGGAACAGCACCTAACCCAAATCCCTCAACCCCGGGCCCTTCACCTTTGCCTCTGCCCATATGGGTAGTTCTCTAGAATTGGGGTCTCTTTTAGGGTCCTTTTTTATAAGGATGCCGTACTATATTGGGGACTTAAGAAATGGACCCTGATGTAGAGAACTAGCCATATAATCCTCTGGTTACTACTTGCAGTTCAGTGCTAGCTACTGCCAAACTGCTGAGCGATTGTTCTTGCGGAAGAGCCCTCTGCCTCGAACGTAGGCATTGAAGCGGTCCAACGGATCATCGGTAGCCGGGTAGTGCACAAACTGCTGAACCTTCACCTTCACAAAGCAAGACGCGAGCCCCTATAACCCCTACACCCTAAAACCCTAAACCCTAAACCCTATACCCTAAAACCCTAAAACCGTAAACCTTAAAAACCTAAAACCCTAAACCCTCAAACCCTGAAACCCGAAACCCTAAAACCCTGTTATGCCTTAAATCCTACAACCCTAAACCCAAAGCCTGAAACCCTAAACCCTAAACCGTAAAATCCTGTACCCTAAACCCTAAACCCTAAAACCCTAAATCCTAAACCCTAAAACCCTATACCCTAAAACCGTAAACCTTAAAAACCTAAAACCCTAAACTCTGAAGCCCTAAAAACCCTAAACCCTAAAACCTAAACCCTGAAGCCCTAAACCCTAAAGCCCTAAACCCCAACGCCCTAAACCCTAAAGCCCTTAACCCTAAAGCCCTAAACCCTAAAACCCCAAACTCTAAAACCCTATACCCCAAAACCCTGCTAAGACCCCAGGAGTTGGCCCGTCACTCGGTGAATCCGTCATCGGCAACTTCGGGCGTGGAGGGCGTAGGGTTTAGGGTTTTAGGGTTTAGGGTTTAGGGTTTTAGGGTTCAGCAGCTCTGGTCGAGCAGTTTTAAAAGTAGAGTTACCTTCACGGTTTAGACACAACACCCACCCACCCATAGAATCCCATAACATTAGAAAATAAAAAGTTCAATCTTTACACTAACGACTCGCATTCACATAGCGCATCACAGTAAGCATCATAAGTACTCTAGTAATTCACCAACAGGCTAAACACTAACGACGCCTTCGTTTCGTGGATGTCACATCCTTTCGTCTAGAAATGCCTTCGCGCATGTATCTGAAGTTCTCGCGCTGTATTAGCTTGAGCTCAGACAACTCAGCGTAACACCCCCTACCCACCCTAGAGCCTTCTACAGGCAAAGGTGCCTCATTCAACGAATCGTTGCCCTTATTCCACGAATTGGCAGAAATTCATTGAATAAGACAAGAATTCGTTGAATAAGACACCTTTGCCTTAAGAGTACGTTATTCAACGAATTTTTGACCTTATTCAACGAATTGGCCGAAATTCGTTGAATAAGGACTAAAATTCGTTGAACAATGCACTTTTGCCTCAAAAGTGCCCTATTCAACGAATTTTTGCTCTTATTCAACGAATTGGTAAAAAAAATCGTTGAATAAGGCACTTAAGGCAAACGTGCCTTATTCAACGAATCTTTTGCTCTTATTCAATGAATTGGGAAAAAATTCGTTGAATAAGGCACTTTAAGGCAAAAGTGCCTTATTCAACGAATTTTTGCCCTTATTCAACGAATTTTTGCCATTAAATTCGTTGGACGAAAAATGCAGCAAACTCGTTGAATAAGGGCAAAATTCGTTGAATAAGGGCAAAAATTCGTTGAATAAGGCAAAAGTGCCTTGTTCAACGAATTTTTGCCTTATTCGACGAATATGTGCCCTTATTCAACGAATTTTTGCCCTTATTCAGCGAATATCTCCAACATTTGGGGTTCTATGTGATAGAGAGGTTTAGGGTTTTAGCGTTTAGGGTTTTAGGGTTTAGAGGTTTAGGGTTTAGGGTTTTAGGGTTTTAGGGTTTAGGGCTTTAGGGTTTTAGGGGTCTAGGTTTTAGGGTTTAGGGTTTAGGGTTTAGGGTTTTAGGTTGCAGGGTTTTAGGGTTTAGGGTTAAGGGTTTTAGGGTTTAGTGTTTTGGTGTTTAGGGTTTGGGGCTTTAGGGATTAGGGTTTTGGGTTTTAGGGTTTAGGGTTTTAGGGTTTAGTGTTTTGGGGTTTAGGGTTTGGTGTTTCAGAGTTTTAGGGTTTAGGGTTTAGGGTTTTAAGGCTTGGTGTTTTGGGGTTTAGGGTTTGGGGTTTTAGGGTTTTAGGGTTTAGGGTTTAGGGTTTTAGGGTTTAGGGTTCAGGGTTTAGGCTGTAGGTATACCCTAGATCCGACCTGGACTCTATACAACCTACCTTGTTAGGGATTTTGACTCTGATCTTGTATAAGTTCTCAAAAAGGTAAGTGATTTGGGGTGCAGGTAGACCCTAATCTCTGAACCCTGGCATTATGCATGTTGGGAGTTTCGGCATCCGTTTTGGGGGGTTCGGGAACTGGCTGGGCAGGACCAGCCTTGCTTAGGCCCGAAACCCAAGACCTGAAACCAATACCTTAATGCCTATAAGCCCTGAACCCAAAATCAAAAACAAACGACACCCTAAACAAGGGTTTCGGGTTTACACAGGGTTTAGGGTGTTGCAGGCTTAGGGGTTTTGGGTTTAGTGTCTTTGGGGAGACGCTACAACCTGAACCCGATGCCTCCCCCTCATCCACGGCATCAGCGCGGCGAGTGGGCAAGTCACAATTGCTAAAGACCTCCTGGCATTGGTCTGGGCGGCTTACTATCGGCTGCGCAACACTGGAAGCTTCTGCCCTCTCAGGCATGCTTTACCCAGATCCCCGCGATCCAAAAAACAGAACCCCAGTTTAAAAAAAACTCATGTATGGGTCTAGACCCTCTCAATAAGGTCCCTTTGAAGAGAGCCATAAGTAGGGTCAAGAAGGGTCCCTTTCAGGGGTCTCCCTAACTAGGAATGTAACAGAATGCAAAGAGCGCTTAATAACAACAATACGAACAGCATCCCCCCCCCTGTTTGTGGGTTCCAGCCCAAATACATTGGTTTAATGGCCCCTAAACCCTAGACCCCTTCATGGTTTAGTCGCTTGCGAGATCCTCTCTCTCTCCCTATTGGCAAAGCTCGTTGGTTCAATGGTTTAAGTAGGGTTTAGGGTTCAGGGGGTTTAGGTTTGGCTTCATTGTTTAGTGGTGGTCTCTGTCCAACAAGTCTGGGCTGTATGACAGAGAACATGTAAGGTTATTACAGGACCAAAACGCCCATCCATGTATGTCCCTTACGTACCCACATGTCGAACTCCTTACAACCCTAAAGTGACTTAGGGGCAAATTCGGATACGTAGTTCTACAGTCTGTAGGGCCTCGGAACCCCATGAATCATCGTGGGTGGGGGTTGGAGGTTTAAAGGAGATGTGGAGGGTTTAAGACCTTGCCGGCGTGACTTGTGGGGAAACCGACAAACCACACCAAACCCCCAAGCCCCTAGCCCGAAACCCTAGACTCCTGCAGTTGCTTCTCGATGGCATCGCGGTCAGAAGGCTCAGAACACTTTGCTTCCCGGACATCGAAATCTGCCATTTGATCCTGGAGTTGGGTTTGTAGGACTCGGGGGGACTACTACGGGTGTATCTCTCAAGTGGGTCTTCCCTCCTAAGCACCCTTTCATCATGCTGCGTACGAATCAAGCCGGGTCTGAGTGGC